CCTCAGCCTCCCAAGTGCTGGGATTACAGGTGTGCACCACCACACCCAGCTCCAGAAGGCTTACTTTTCCTAGATAAAACTGACCTGAGTTGGGCTAAGTAAACTACTTTTAGTTTTTATGTTTTCTGAGACAGGGACTCATTAAGGAGTTCAGGCTGGCCTTGAACTCACCACAAAGCCCAGGGTGGTCTTAAACTCGCAGTGATCCTCCTGCCTCAGCCTTCCAAGTGCTAAGAATTTAGGGGTGGGCCACCACAGCCAGCAGCTCTTTTCCCATTACAGAATGATTTTACAAGGCACCAATGATCTTTTCTCTGACAGGCTTCAGAGAGCACATTCCTAAGCAGGGCTGTTCTGCAGCTCGTATTCTGCCCACTTTTTGTTTTTGTTGGGCCTTGATTTGTGCTACATAAACCTTCACACTTTTCGTACCCATTCTGTTCCAAGCATCCTAAGTATCTTTAATGAAATATCGGAGCCCAAACCTAGATTATAATCTGAAGAGCTAAGACAGACACAAACCAAGGTAAGAATGAAGCCAATGTCAGGCTCCCTGGTCGGGACAGAGGTCCACACTCTTCCAAGATAAGTGACATTCGTGACCACCTGGCCAAGCCCTGCAGTTTACAGGTGAAGGAAGAAGCAACAGAGGGCTGGTCATTGGATCCACATCACTGCTCCTGTTAAACGGGAGCCCTGGCGGCTGGGAACCACATTCCTCGTCACCCTGGAGACCAAGCGTGAAACTGGGACTTTAAACTTGCCCGGAATGTCTGTCTTTATTTATTCTCTGGTTTCTTCTCAAGATGTCACATTAGGCAAATGAGGGGGAAATCAGGCCCGAGGAGGTAAAAGACTTTCCCGTGACTGTTTACAAAGTCAGCGTTTGAGCTGTAGCCGATCCCGGGACCTCAGTTTCTGGGCACCCAGTTTTAACAGTAAATAAGAACACTTCCCTTACTCTGTCAACTCGGCCCTGCGCTAAGTAGGGAAGCTGGTGATTTATGCCAAAGCACGTGGGGTGTTACCGTTGCAGAGCAGAAAGCTCTCTAGTCTGCACCGGGAACCAATCTAACCTTTAGCAACTGGATCGTCTAGCGCAGTAGCTCTCAAACTGGCACGGAGGGGGAGGGAGTGGCCCCCGACCATTGGGGGATTCTCTGTACTCCCTGCCGATTTCCAGCGCGCTCTCAGACCCTGCTCCGGGGACCCCAGCACCAGGATGCGTCAGGAGGCCCGCAGGCAGCTTCTGACATAGAAGTCCAAACAACAAAATGAGAGAACCAGTGGTTGTGAGTCCAGCATTTCCCAAGCTGGCCTAAGCTTGAGTCTTACTGGGGAGCTCTTTAAAAATCCGTGCCCCTTTACCACTGGTTCAGAAAATTCAGAATCTGAGCCCGAGAGAACAGTTGGAGAGCGAGGTCTGCCCAGAGTGATCGCTGTGGCCCTGGCCCCTATACACCGTTCGCTTACCGCCTCCACGCAGCCTGACACCATCCACATCCACATCCACATCCACGAGGCTACCATTTCCTGGTCCTTCATTCAGCCAATAAATACGGCTCAAAACCGATTGCTTTTTTAAGCCTGAGAGAGAGCCTTGTAATTACAAATTTGTGTCTCATCATTTTTTACGGTTACTTACGGATAGGAGGGGCAACTGCTGAAGCCAGAGCATTCAGCTGAGATGGAGGAAGGAGCTCCACGAACACAGGAGCTGCAGATTAAGGAGGAGGACGCGGGAGATGAGGGCCTTCGGGGCCGGTCCCTCCTTCCGGAAATAAGTTAATGATGGTGCCTCCCTCTAAGAGCTCCGAGCATCACATACAGTGAGGCTGCTGGCATCGCCCAGGCTTCGTCAGCCAGAGTGGCCCCACAGAGGGCAAGCAGCACTGGGTCAGTGGGCGCCATCTGAGTCTACATAGCTCCCTCCAACAGAAATCACAGCAGCTCCTCTCCGAGGAGCTCACCCCTTTGTCCACAGAAAGGCTGCACCCTTGCAGGGCCTGCTGTGATGATGAATCCAGTCCTGGCCCGCTTAAAAACCGGACCATATTCCAACAGGAGAGGTCTTCTCCTTCCACTGAAGCATGAGGAGAGGGAGACAAGGCACGGTGGGCCCGGCAGCCCTCCAGGGCACAGTGCGTGCCCGGGCCGCCTGTTCCGCACAGTCTAAAGGTGGCAGGACTTAATCCCGGGAGGACTCAGCCAACAGAGGTTCCGCCAACTCACTACTCCAGGACAAAGAACAGGCAGGTTCTTTAGAAAAGCAATGAGGCTGACAAAGTTTCCTCCCACTGGAAGACCTCCCAAGAAGGGGCAGCCGGTGCCCAGAGCCAGAGCAGGTAACAGATACCTAATGAAGGCTGAGCTCCTCCGCTGTGGTTCTCAAGTCCCAAGTGTCCATCCGCCCAGTTCAAGCAATACCGATGCTGCTGGTCCCGGTGCCTTACTCTGAAGACCACTGCTCTACATGCTGCAGAAAGAAAAGATGACTTATGAGAGGTTAACAATATAACAAAAAAGTCAGGTTAAAAGATATTTTCCCTCAGTAGCCAACTGCAGGAAGGACGGAAAGGAGACAGCCGCTACCACTCACGAGGCACCAGATGACCTCTGTTATGTCATCTCTGACCATGGTGCTGGTCCTAATCACTGAGACACAGGATTCAGCCCATAGCTTAGGAGCGCAGCAGTCCTTGAATACTATTTTTAACTTATGGAGAACTTTGGTGTCTGGTATGAGACACTTCAATGACCCACTGGACCAGAATCATCTCCCGCGATGAGGAATTTCCAGCATCAGAACCCACAGTCAAAGGCGGTGGGCCTGGAGCTCCACGGGAAAGTGGGGGTGGTTCTTCTGGTCTTCTCTCTTCTAGTCTGAAAACAGTAACTCCAGTAGCTCATTAGCATTTGGTTGCTGAGATGGAGAGATTCCAGGAAGTGCTAGAGGTAGGACCATAGCAAGATCAGCCCCAGGAGAACCCGAGACAGGGTGGGAACCTCAAGATTTGGGTCAAAGAGTAGTTTCCCAAGAACAAAGGAGGGAGAGTGACCCTAGAAGAAGGTCACAGGTGGCATCAGGGCGGCTGCTTTTATGTGCCATCCCCTTGATGGTCCAAAGCTGCACATGCAAGGGACTCAAGGTGAGTGAAAAACAGTTCCTGCTGCTCCAAGGGGGAATCTGCACAGACACTGACAACCTGGCTGCTGACCAGCCCTGTGCATCCTGTTTAATTCGCAGGAGCTTTGCCTCCCTTCACATACTGCCCCCCTTCTCCCCACAGCCTCAGGAAAGTGTGTGTCCCGTGCAGTTCACTCCACAAGGAGCCAGATCACTTGTTTCTAAGAGGATGTGGGGCAGATCCATGGAGGGAAAAGACAGACAGCTCAATCTCAAGCAGAAAAACCGTCCCCTGAAATCTGAGATGCCCCCTGCTAATTCCCAGGGAATTAGGTATTAGGGTGTCAGGTAACCGAAGACAGATTGTAAACAGGGTCGCCTCTGTCTGGGCCTTTCCGAGATACATCCCTAAGGCAGCCTCCTTGGGCCCCCACAGTGAGTTCGTTCTTGGTGCGGACCCCTTGCTGAAGAGGGCTGTTCCCACTGTGAAGGCTCCGAAGAGGCTTCGAAGTGAGCTCAGGCCTCAGTGGACACAGATGCCCTCAGAAAGGGGCACGGGCCGGGCATGGTAGCGCCCACCTGTAATCCCAGCACTCTGGAGGCTGAGGCAGGAGGATCACTGTGAGTTTGAAACCAGCCTGGGCTACATAGTGAGTTCCAGGTCAGTCTCAACTACACAGTGAGACCCTGTCTCAAAACAACAAAGAAAAAAACAAAAAATGAAGAGTGGGAGAGAAATTGGCTCTGCAGAGCAAGCCTGGGCTAAGTAAAGAGAGAAAGAGGGAGCGAGCAAAGTTGAAGTACACACTGCATGTGGGACACACAGCCTGGCTATTGCAGAAAGTTAGGAAGCAAATTCTTCCTATGTTTTTTACGCTACCCAAATCTTGAGGACTAATCTGGGTTTTTAGCAATTAGTTTTTTAGAATAAATTGATGAGCCATGTATGTTTCTCTTAGTTTTCCAAAACAAATAAAGTTTATTGGGAATCTCAAACCATCTACAATTACTTATTTATGGTGAATATCGTCTTGGAGAAGATGAGGCGCTCAGATGGCCAAATGTCCCCTCTGCTTCTGCCGGGATGGGCCCTGCTGGGGAGTAGGCGGGCCTGAAGGGTGACAAAGGACCGCAGCATGCCTCCAGGAAGCCCTCCATCCTCCCCTGTCCGAGCCATGTGCCCTTGGGTGCCTTTTACCCCACTGCGGATAACCATCGCCAGAGGGCGCTCTGAGACCTACCGCCAGCTCCTCTGCAGGACCGCACTTGAGGTGGGGGCACTTGGCTTTGCTCCCCCTCGCAAGCCCAGCAGGACGCCTGGCCCTCAGCGTGTTGGAGAACAGGTCACCCAGTGGAAGGACCTATGAGAACCATGCAGGGGACCTGGAGCTGAACACAGAGGCACAGAAGGAAGAAGGGGCGGGAAGGCGGAAGGGAGCCACAGGCAAGCTCCACGTCCACAGTCCTGCCCGCAGTCTGCCCTGCCCATCAAAACTTAAATCTCACCTCATCTAAAATGTCCTCGCGGGAAGAGGATGTACCTCAGCGGTACTGCACCTGCCAGTGCGTGGGTTCCATCTCCAGCACCACGCATATGGTACCTGAAATATATGAATGACTACATTTTTAAAATTTATTACAGTAAAAGACACATTGCCACGAATCCCCCTCAAGCACTTCTTCCCCTCACTTCAAATACACAGCCCATCGGTCTTGCCATTTTCTGAAGCAGTTCTGCAAGTCCTCTTTCGTTAATGTGATCAGGGACACATTAATGCTGCTACCATCCAAGAGAAAGGCAGGCGTGCACACACAGACACACACACTTGCACACGCGTAAATCACACTGTGTCCTCTTCCATCCTATTCCCTGAATCTGGCTCTTCCCCCAAGTCAAAATGTTTTGAATCAGTTCAGGACATTAAGGCAGCCATGACAGCTCAACCAAAGACACTCAGGAAAGAGGGCTCCAGAACTGCCTCAGAAAGAGGCGAGGAGGAGGGACACTGTGTGCGGGAGAGGGGTCCCAAGGGGAATCCACAACAATCAATCTTTTACCATAATTTTTGTTTGTTTATTTTTTGAGACAGGATCTCACTATGTAGTTGAGACTGACCTGGAACTCACTATGTAGCCCAGGCTGGTCTTGAAATCACAGCGATCCTCCTGCCTCAGCTTCCCGAGTGCTGGGATTACAGGCGTGTGCCACCACACCAGGCTACCATAATTTTTTTTTTTTTTTTGGTACCGGGGATTGAACTTGGGTCCTTGCGCTTGCAAGGCAGGCCACTGAACTGCTGAGCTAAATCCCCAGCCCCATACCATAATATTTTCGATCACACCTCACATTTGCCTGATCATCCTCAGCTTGTTTCTGGCTTCAGTCTATACTCATTTACTGAGATTCCCCCTCAGATACAATCCTGTCCCCTAAAACAGTCCAGACTGGTAAGAGAGAGAAATCTCACCACTGGACACAGTCCATAAAGTGAAAAGGCAACCTATGAAATAGAAAATATTTGCAAAGTACATACCTTATCTAGATTAGTATCCATAATATATAAAGAATTTCTAAACCAGGAGTGGTGGTACACGCCTGTAATCCCAGCACGGGGGAGGCTGAGGCAGGAGGATCGCTGTGAGTTCAAAACCAGCCTGGGCTACATAGTTCCAGGTCAGTCTCAACTACATAGTGAGACCTTGTCTCAAAAAAACCAAAAAAAATTTTTTTTCTATAATTCAACAATGAAAGACAAAGGCAAATAATTTTAAAAATGGGCAAAGGACTTAAATAGAGCTCTCTCCAGAAGGGTGTCTAGACAAAAAGACGCTCAATGTCACAACCATTAGAGAAACAAACAAAACGACACTAAAACATCACCTTCTTAAACCCACCAGACGGCTCCTACAGAACAGAAAGTAATTCGTGTTGGCAAGGGTGTGGAGAAATACAAATGCTCCTACACTTGGGGTGGAAATGGAAAATGGTGCAGCTGCTATAGGAAATAATATGGAAGGTTCTCAAATTGCTACATGATCCAGCATCCAACCTAGGGTTATATATCTAAAAGAACTGAAAGCAGCTCTGAATTTTGAAGAGAGATTTGCGCACTCCTGTTCATAGTAACACTATTCACAATACCCAAGAGACAGAAAAAACCAGTTGTCCACGGATAAACAAGATGTGATATATTCATATAGCAGAATATCATACAGCCACAAAAAAGGATATGTTGGCAGATGCTACTGTCTGGCTGAATCTTGAGGACATTGTGCCAAGTGATATATATGTCACAAAAGGACAAATACTATGTTATTCCACTTATATGAAGTACCTTATACTAGTTAATTTGGGGTGGGTTTTTTTTGGTTTTGGTTTTGGTTTCTTTGGTTTTTTGAGCCAGGTTCTCACTATGTAGTTGAGACTGACCTGGACCGCACTATGTAGCCCAGGCTGGTCTCGAACTCACAGCGATCCTCCTGCCTCAGTCTCCAAGTGCTGGGATTACAGGCGTGCACCACCACGCCGGCTTACACTAGCTAAATTTATAAAAACTGAAAGTAGAACGGTGGTTGCTGGGGACCGGGCGGAGGAGAAATGAAGACTCTTGAATGTATCCGTCTTCCCTTCGCCTCAGGAGCCAAGGTCTCAGGCAGCAGTCTGGCAGTGCGTCCCTTCTCCACTATTTCCCTCCCATCATCTCGCACCTGCTCCACACCCCAAGGGCAGATCATCATCCCCCTGAGCCAAGCAAACGACCTTTTGGGAGCTCAACCTCCCCTGCTACAGACACCTACGGTTTCCTCCTGTGGTTCCCTGGGGCTACCGCCCCCTTCCTGGGTTCAAAGGGGGAGGGTACATTACCCCTGTCCCAAAGTCCATCCGCCCTTCTTTGTCAGTCCTCACATCAGCGAAGGGGTGGGAGGTGGCTTAGACTGGTGAGCATGGCCAGTTCCGGGCCGCAAGTCTGGCTGACCCCAACTCCGGGAAAGTACCGATGGCTGCGTGGAGACCTGTGAGTGGACCCTCACTCACACTGGGGCTCACAGGCGCCAGGAGACGCAGCGACCACTTTCACAAGCAGGGAACTGGGGAAAGTTTGGGAGGGAAACATTTGAAAATCTGGGAAGGTGGGGTCAGCTTTGGCGGGGTAAAGACAAACGGGAGGTGGCGCAGCGGGGCAGGCCGGAGAGGGGACTGCAGAGCCTACAGGCGGACTTCCCACGACACCCGCAGGCCCGAGGGGTCCTGGGAGCCCGGAAGCCGCCAGGTCCACTTCCGGCTGCCTGGGGCTCTCCGAGCTCAGGCTGCCCCAGGATGCTTTGCGAGGAGAAAGCCGGCGGCGCCCTGGGCCCAGCACCCGAAGCTCCCAGAACCGCTCGGTCTGCGAAGCACAGTGCGTTTCCGGCTGGTTTTCCTTCATCCTGACGTAAAAGTGGTAAAACTCTTCTGCAGCAGACCCCGTTTTCCTGTGGGCTCCCAGCAGCTGTGCCCGCTCCTCCAGGCTGTCACAGCCCCAGCAGGGCTCCCACCGCTGCACAGCCCGGACCCGGCCCAGCGGTCCTGCCCTCAACGGTACTGGCCAAGGCCCTTCGTCTCTGAACCCGAGATTCGTCAGCTGGAGAAGCGGCGGCCATCCGCCCTCGCATGGGCTCCCACGCGGAAGTGCTGCGGGCGTGCACTGCGGTGTGAAGTGGGCACATACCGAGGCAGACCTTCTGCACCTCTTCACACCCGACAGCGTGAACGCTCGCGGAAGCAGAAAGCATTCGCAACTCAAGCCCAGCCTGGCAACCTAGGCCAGGTCTCAAAATGAGAAAATAGAAAAAGGGGTGAGCCAGGCATGGTGTCGCACGCCTGTAATCCCAGCACTCAGGGGGGCTGAGGAGGAAGGATTGCAGCAAAGCTCGCTCAGCTCCTACGGTTGTTTTGCTGTTGTCTTTCTAGGTTTTGGAGAGGTTTTTTTGTTTTGTTTTGTTTTGTTTTTTGGACTGGGGATTGAACTCTGGTCCCTGTGCTTGCGAGGTAGACAACGGAACCACTGAGCTAAATCCCCAGCTCTCTAGAGTTGTTTTTTTATTTGATTTGGTTTGGTTTGGTTTAAAACAGTCTCAGCCGGGCGTGGTGGCGCACACCTGTAATCTCAGCACTCGGGGAGGCTGAGGCAGGAGGATCACTTTGAATTGAGACCAGCCTGGGCTACATAGTGAGGTCCAGGTCAGTCTCAACTACACAGTGGGACCCTATCTCAAAAAAAACTGAGGATTTTAGCTGAATGGTTCCAGCGCCTGCTTCACAAGCACAAGGACCTGAGTTCGATCCCTGGTTTAAAAAAAAAAAAAAAAAAAAAAAGTCTCACTAAGTTGCTCAGGCTGGGTTCAAACCTGTGATCCTCTCACCTCCCATAGTGCTAGAGATCACAAGTGTGTCACCATGCCCAGCTGACCCTGGATGTTTTGGGTCCACCTTTTCTCTTTTCTACTCCCCTGCTCTTTGTGGCCCCCATCACCACAGCATCTAGGAGCTCAAACCAACTCATTACATTTCCAACAGCCCTGTGCGAGAAGACACCTTCCTTCCGGAAGCCTTAGCTCTGAAGCTGAGCTTGGAGGAGGAGCAGACTCCTTGTTGGATGGAATCTGGAGATTTATGCAAAGAAGAGAAACAAGCACCAAACGTGTATCAAATGCCCACAGGGTGAAATGTCTTACAGCTGCCTGGAGACTCAGCTAATCCTTCCCCCCCATCCTAACCCTTGGAGCCACCGAGGCAGCAATGGCAAAACTTTAGAGCTTTTTCGGTGATAACAAACGGCCCGCCGTGGCACGCGTGCCTTGGTTCAGCACCACTGCTCTAAGGCAGTAGCGGTCTTCACCTATAGGACTAGCCCTGGAACATTCGATGATACCAGTCAGGGTTTGTCCTCCCCAGCTCTGTCCAGAAAAATACTAGGTCACCCCCGGGACGGACCGGTCTCATTTCATGCTACCCCAGGAGCAAGCCAAGGGCACAGATGGAAGTCAGCGCTACAGAGATGCGTTAAGGGGAGGAAGCAGGACTCTATGCTAAACCAAGAGGCAAAGTCTTGTGTCTCACAGCAGCCAGCCCCAGTGGGTCAGGACTCGCCAAAGAATCCAGGGGCATCCGAAGAGAGCTGGGATTCTCGGTTCCACTTGCCATTCTGCCACCACTCCGAGAGCAAGGTAATATAATCCTTAATCTCACCTGATAAATGAGGCATTGCAGATCTTCAGAGCTGGCTTCGCAAACCACAAATCAGATATGATTAGAGAAAATATGTTTTGATTTTTTTTTGGGGGCGTGCCGGGGATTGAACTCGGGACCTTGTACTTGGGAGGCAGGCAGCAGAACCACTGAGCTTCATCTCCAGCCCTAGACAAATATCTTAATGCAGGCCAGGGACACAGCTCAGCTGCACAGCACCTGCCAGGCAAGCTCGAGGCCCTGAGTTTGATTCCCAGTACAAAAAAAAAAAAAATTTTTTTTTGTAAATGCTATTTCCAGAAACGAAGGGCCTTCTAGGAGGTGTGGAGTGGACATTGGCCTACTGGAGCTGCATGTAATTGTCTATAGACACGGTCATTGGCAAAGTATTCCACACAGGAATGTCCCCGAAGGCCTGTGGCGGGGACTGCAGGAATGTGCAGCCTTGTACCCAAAACCTTCCTTCTTGAGCCACATGCTCAGAATTCCTGCTTAAACATCTCCAGGGAGCTAGTTTGTTAACTTTTGGGTTTTTTTGTTTTGGGTTTTGGAGACAGGGTCTCACCACGTAGTTCAGACTAGCCTTAAACTCACTCTGTAGCCCAGGCTGGCCTTGAACTTTTGGTGATCCTCCTGCCTCTGCCTCCTGAGTGCTGGGATTACAGATGTGCCCCCCCACACCCAGCAGGGAGCTAGTTTTAACACTGCGGAAACGAACTGCTTCCCAAAAATTTATTTCTTAGTGTCAATTTCACTCCTTAATCTAACGTAGAATTCGGTATCTTCTCTACCACAAAAATTCTAAATATTTAAAAAGAGGTGGGTCCTTAAAAATCTTATTCTAAGCCAGATAACCTTGGCTTCTTCCAACATTTCTTTGCCCCCAGGCCAGCAAGCGGGGTGTCCTTCAGTATGCTGAGAGAGGGCAGATCTGCAAGGACAGCCGGTCCCTCCGGTGCCATAGCACACATCACCACTAGGGGGAGGCCCAAGGATCCCTTAACCCACCCTCCTGGAAAAGGGGCTAAAGCTCCCTGAGTGCCTGAGCCACCCTTGACTCCAGCACTGGGATCACCTAGGAGGCCTAGGTCAGGGGATCACTGTGACTGAGGCCAGCCTGGGCTACACAGTGAGGCCCAAACTATAGGCCCTGCATCAAAAAAAAAAAAAAGCCCTCGGAAGTGCCTGCCTCCGGTTTTGTCAAAAAAGCTGAAGCTGCCTCCTGAGTGGGCAGGACCAAGGTGAGACTGGACAGGAGGTCTTCAGTGGTTGGCCTGGGGCTCTTCTCCAGGCCTAGAAAGAATATCCGTGCCTTTCCATGGACAAATAAACAGGCACACCAGGGAGGCCCAGAAGCCCCTTTATCTGCCTTTGATTTGAATTTAAGTTTGAAGGGAAAAGAATGCTTGAAGTTTGCCCAGTCCCAAGGGCTGGCCAACACCCAGCCAGCACCATTTCCTCCCAACAGGCTGACAGCCAACAGCCAGCAAAGGATAAACACAGCACACTGAGATTACAGCGTTACACCCACTGGCTTGGGTGCTAGGCTTCTACTGATGTACATAACAACACTGCATTTACCTTTTCAACTAGTTTTTCTATTGGTTCATGTTGAAACATGGGCGGGGGCTATTTTCTAAATAAGAATAAACTTAGATCCTGCAAGGTTTGGCATAAGAAGTAAAAAAGGAAGGGATGATTATTCAAGTATCCCCTGTTCCAAACTTTGGGATTCTCTCACTTTGGTTACCAAACCCACACCATACCAGTATACCAGTACCCGGAGCTTACATACAGTAACTGTATCATTACAGTTGTACTCAGTCTTAACCCATGAGGCTGCTATAACAAAATGCTACAGGCTGGGAGGCTTATAAACAAGAGAAGGTTATCCTGTGCTCACACTTGCCGTGGATGAGGAGTTCTGACTTGGGCCTCACAGCCGACTTCTTACTTTAACCTCACATGTAGATGGAGGTAACCATCATCCAGGAAGGTTCTATCCTCAAGAGCAATCACTCCTCAGAGGTTCCCTGCCACAACTTTAGGAGTTAGAATTTCAGTGTGTGCGTTGGGGTGGGAGGCACAGACGCTCGGCCCCTAGGGCGGTCTAGGAGTGGACAGGACCCCTCTCCACATGCATTAGCCTGGGGTTTGACTCCAACAGGACTAATTTAGGCCCAGAACTGACAGCCCTCACTCAGCTCCCTCTCTAGCTAAAGAACCTACACCCTTCCCCAGAGGGTGCGCAGAAGTGTCCAGGGCCCCCCAGGGTTCCTTTCTGCCCGGAGGGCAAGACCTCCCACCCCGGCACCCAAAGTGAGGCGGCGGCTGGCTGAGCGCCCGCTCGGGTCTCGGCTGGAAGTGCGAGGCGTGCTGTTCCCCTCCTGGGACCGGTGACCTCACCGCGCAGGCGGAACCTGGCTTCTCCCCGGAGAGCTGTGCGCTGCGACCTTCCTCAGCCACCTTCCCCGCTCGGCCTCGGCCTCCGAAG